TGAGTCAACCCTGAGCCGGTGAGATTTGAACCGCTGACCTGCTGATCTAGCAGTAGCCTGCAGTGCTGCATTTAACCACTGCGCCACCTTGGCCCCAATCCATGACATTATTTGATCAAGGGAACCTGAAGCACATTGATCCTGTACTTGTGGATCAGTAGTGTCATATGGCAATACTCAGGCTGGAATGCACAACTTGGCCCAGCCAACTCACTGCAGCTAACTTGCAATAACCAACTTGTTGTGGCCAACTTGTCACGGCCAACTTGCCATGGGCAACTCATGGCCAGCTCACCACAGGACAACTCACTATGAAACAATTCAACAATTGAATTTTAAGTATTTAAAATAATTTTAAAAATTGTTTTAATTTTTGTCATTCATATTTCATTTTGTCTCTTTTTTACATTCATTCTTTAAAGTTTCTATTCACCATTTTTTCAATATTAGTGTAATTCTTTTCCTGTGGCGAATTGACTATGGTCAGTCACCTGCACCAAGTTGGCTGCACTGTGTTGTCCTAGGACCTAGACCCTTCTCAGATATGCCCAACATTGCCTATACTGCTGTATTTAGGACTAGCTGTAGCTTTCAAACAGTATTAAGGGACAATCGCATATAAAACATATTGCAACATATGTCCAACTGTAAGTGGACTAAGACAAGTACAACCTGCATGGTAAAGGATTCTTTCAAAATGGAAAATATATCCTATCATTAACCATTCTTCAACATTTTGTGTGGTTGGAACAAACAATGCAGTGAATGACTCTTTCTTTATTTCTATATAAAGATCTCATCCAAAAATTTATCACACTTGAAAGTATGTCAGGCCCTTGAATTCAACCTCTACATCCTCACAGCATTCAATGTTGGGATATTGATAGGTAGTTCTCATTTAGTAATATTAATTGGGACTGAAAACTCCTTATTATGTGATATGGTTGTAAGTAAAAAAATCATATAACTGCATCTCTTAGTGATGGCAGTCCCAATAATCCCAGTTACTGCCATTAACTTACAAGCAAGCATTTACAAACTTCTCCATTACCAGGATTTGGTCAAATTATGCCCTTGAAGTTAACTGCCCATAGTTTAAGAACTACTGGTCTAAGCAAAGCCTACCACAAATTTTGCAGCTCTAGCTTAGCCAGAGCTGCAAATGCTGCAAAAATGGTGCCCACAGATGTCTGCCCAACATGTGACAGAACATTTCGTGCCTGTATGGGCCTTACTAGCTAGCTGCGGACACATTATGCACAGTCCACAACCTGTTAAATATCAAGGTCCTCTTCGAACACAATGGACGAACATCACCACAAATTTTAAGAGGTTTCCATCTTTGCATTCAGATCTAAGGCTTCCAACAGAATTGCCAATTAGAAAAACTCCCACATAATTTGAGGAAGAATAATTCCTCTAAAGGCTATTGAGAGCCATATTCAAATGTAGTTATTGTTATTGCAGCTGTTATAATCAGCATTCAAGGAGGAGTACACAAATTTAACTATTTTAGACAATCATGACACCTTGTCATATTGGATTTTTGGATTGGATTGTTGTTAATGACAGTTCCAAAGATTATTTAGGGATATCTAGCTTTGGAAATTATATGTGTTGCTTGTCCTCTTTTGTATACAGTTCACAATACAAATAATAGTTTTTAGGTATGCAGTATCTCCTTTGGCTCAAACAAAATTCATGGTTCTTTCTCAGGATTGATTGAAAAATCATCAGATAATTATGGCTATAACTTTTTTGCTTTTGTAAAATGCATAAAATGTGGATAAAAAAGCAAGTTGAAAAACACAAAATTAGTTTTAATGTCACATTAACATTTAATAAACATAAATTCTGGCTATTTAAATAGTTATTCTTTTTGATTTAAACTAAAAATAATTTTCCCTCCACTAGGGTGACTCCGGGGGTCCACTGATGACAATTGATTCAAGACAAATGTGGTATCTTGTTGGCATTGTGAGTTGGGGGGATGAATGTGGAAAACCAAATAAGCCTGGTGTCTACACACGAGTAATTTACTATCGAGACTGGATTACTAAATATACTGGGCTTTGATATAATAAATATAAAAAGCATCACATGTTTGAAGCTGTATAGATGACATCTAGGTGGTACAAAGGACTATGATTTTATATAAGAGTATTTGTGTTATTTCATAAGTCATTAATAAAACTAGCATGTTTTAAAAACTAAAAAATAATTTATTTGGATTGTTAAACCAAAGCACCTATTATAAAATGTGCATTCCCAGCAAAAAGATTGTAAATTTGCTTTCACATAGACTGAATAATTTCGTTTACTTTCCAACTGTTCTGTTTTCCTTTGCCTTCAGAGACATTAGTGAAAGAGAGTCTAAGTCTTTAAAAGATTGGGCATTATCCTTAACTATTAAGCAGCTAGATGTCAGCAACAGTCCTTGGTAAGTTTGAAGTGGGCTGCGCAAAGCATTCATTTTTAGACAGATGCATATTAAGATTTCTGGGCCTATCTCACAGAAAGTGAGAAATAGAAATATCTCATTGCTAGGCATACCTAAGAGCTGAGGTGGTATTCTCCTGGTTTGTTAAATTTTTTGTGCAGTTCAGAGAACTGGCAAATTCCACCACTGGTTGGCCCCACCCCTCCCCACTCCTCCAAGTCACTCCTTATCTCACCTGCGGCATAACTGCTGTTACTCTCTGTTTCCCTCGCTCGCTCGCTTGCCTTGACCATGTGGTCCCCACACACAGCCTACCTTTCTGCCTCAGGTATCTGCCTTCCCTGATCTCCAGTCCTTGCTCAGCTTTCTCCTCCATGCCCCGGCCTACCTTTCTGCTGCCTGAACTGCCTGCCTACGCCTTCCCCAATCTTCCCAGGTCCCCCCTCCCCAGTGTGCTACTATTCTGCTCCATTTCTGACGCTCGTGCCATCCCTGATCTCTGCAGGTTCCTCCCCAACATGCCCTACCTTTCTGCTCCATTTCTGTCATCTACCCGCACCTTACCAGATCTCTATAGATCCCCCCCAGCGTGCCCTACTTTTCTGCTCCCTTTCTGCCACCTATGCCTTCCCAGATCTCCATAGATTTCCCCCAGCATGTCCTATCTTTCTGCTGCCTGAACTGCCTGCCTGTGCCTTACCCGATCACAGCTCCCCCCACCACAATTGAGGGCTACCTTTCAATAAAGCCATCCTATGGAATCATTACTTGTTTTTCAGAATATGTCCTACTTGGCTTAAGTTCAAGCTGAACCCAATATTGAACCTAATTCATATATTCTACCTATGTATTTCATTCGATGACTTCTTAGATTATTTTGGACTATATCTTTTTGTTGGACCCTAATCCCCGTTAGTCTTAAAAATTTACCATACTAATGAAGTCCTTCTAGTTGCAAAGCATAATCTGAAAATATGTTTTATTATTGACAAAGCTTCAACAATCTCTTGCAAACCAGTTGTTATACTTTTCTTAAAAGTTGAGGACTCGGTTATCTCACCAACAATTTTCGTTGAGCTAGTTGAATTGGAAAAACAAGATGCAGAGATAACATGTTTTTTAGTTATGGAAAGTTTAAATAATATTGGGCTTAAAAATAATTACCTAGAAAAAAATTTAATAGGATTTTGCTCTGATGGTGCCAGCGTTATGCTTGGGAGAAAATCTGGAGTGAGCACTAGGATAGCAAGAGTTTTCAAACATAATAATGTGGCACTGCTTAAACCATCACCTCCAACTTGTTTTAGATGATTTGATAAAGGAAATAAAGCAAGCAAATCATTCTAAAATATTTATTGATAAGATATATACTATTTTCATCCATCCAATAAGAAAAATATACTATTTTTTATAAATCCAATAAGAATTTACTAAAATATCCAAACAATTTGGAATTGAAATTAAGATTGGTAGGTAGTTTTAAGACCAAGATAGGCTGCCTATAGTTTAAGGTCAACCCTAGCTGTGTGGCATGCTTATCCAGCGCTACATCAATATTTTCATTCAAATGTCCATCTTGAAAATATATATTTTATGATTGATTTGGCATTGATGATTGACATTCTAAATGAAATTTCTCTTCTTTCAAATGCATTGCAAGCAAGAAAAGTAGATATAATAAAGGCTGAGAACTTGTGATAAGATCTATTAAAGCATTTGAAATGCTTAGAAAAAAGGTATATACGAAAAAAAGTTGATGAATTATTTCAGAAACTTTCAAAAATATAAAATTTGTAGAAAATCTCCATTTGTTGGGCTTCCTTGGGAAAGACTTTTAGAAAACATCATAACAAATTTGAATAAAAGACTTAAAAAGAGATTGTAGCCAATTTCAAGACTGGAATAAATTACAATTTCTCTACATTTTTGGGGGGAGGGGGAGCCAGATTACTGGAATATCGAAGAAGTAGTAGTTCCATGGAAAGCAGCTGAAGAACAATTGCTCCTATTTAGTGACATTTTAAATTACCAAGTTGATATTAATGATTATTGATATTTTGTAGAAAATGTTTTTAAAAATTTCCAGACAGTATTCAAAAAGCTAAAAATATTAGCAGCACAATCGCTGTAAGTTCAGCAGAAGCAGAAAGGGTTTTTTCGAAAATGAAAAACCCCTTTCAGAGAAGAGAAATCGCCTGTTTCCAATATAACAAAACTAATGACTATTAGTCTAATTAGCCTACCTCTAAAAGAATGGGACTCTATTCCTACAGTCAAAAAATGGTTAAGAGTAAATCACACAGTCGATGATGCTTGAGTAAAACTGAAGAAAAGTGCAAGTGAGGAAGCCAATCAAACAGCAATTTGGAAATCCCTTAAATAACAGTTTTATTGTTTTTTGTCAAGTATTTAATAGTTTTTCATTAATATTGTATAACTCTTTCTTGTAACAAAATCTAGTTTGTGTACTTCTTTTATTGTTCTTATTTAAGTATTAAATGCATGAAATAATAAACTACCTTTTGGTATATCTTTTTTATATTTAAAACAGTCATTAGGGCAAAAAAATGATGTTGAGTTGGCCATGCCCATCCAGTCACATGAGCACCTAGCCACGCTCACCCAGCCCCACCACCCAATTACAAGAACACCCAGCCATGCCCACCCAACCAGTCATTAGGACAGACAACCAGTTGTTATTTAAACCCACCACTGCCTAATAGGTCATTATTCAAATATAAAATAGAATTGCTTTCCACTAAGAAATATGTAAATATTGCTGTAGCTTTTCTTCCCGGGACCCCTCATTATTCTATTATATCAGAAATATAATGCATTTATTAGTCTTTCCATCTATGGGAATAGCAAATGTTAATTTTGATGGTGATGGTAGTGGTGGTGCTATGGTAGTGTCCAAAACTCCTGAATTGTTTTCTGACATTCTCCAGCAAAATATTCTGGGAAGAGAAAATAGAGAAATTTCTTTATGAAAACATGCATAGCAGTCAAACAGCACTATGCCTATTTAGTAAATTTGTAGAACTGTCCTTTTCAAAGCTCCCCCTTATGAATATACTATATTTTTATTATAACAATTTATTGAAAATTCTGTCATCTATGTTTTCTACCATCAAATCTTCAAAAATAAAAGCCAAGCAGGGATGTTGGCTGACTTCTAAAATCAAGCAGAGTTGGGCCTGATTAGTATTTAGATGATAGACCACTCTCCAGAATGGCAGGACAGACTGGAAGTTGAAAAAAAATTCTGGAAGAAGAGAGTAGCAGTAACTTCTGCATTGCTGCCAAGAATGTTACATCAATGGAATTGAATTTGACATGAGAAGTTATTATGAAAATATTTGTTAGGTAAGCTCCCCATTGGGAGAGCGAGTGCATTCAGAGAAGCGTTGTGAGAGTTGTGTTGGAGAACACACAAACCAGCATACAGAGACACTGCAGTTTAAATAGGCTTTTACTTTCGTGGAAATAGAGGTATCAGAGTCCATCAAACAATCCAAGTCATACACGGATAAGATAGTCAGTCATCAATGTCTTTCAGTTAAGGGATAATCCAAATAACATAGTCCATAATCATACAAACAGTCTGGTACTCAAAGTTTGTTAGCAGTTGCAAAATATACAATAGCTCATGGCACTTTCTAACAGCCAGCTTCCAAAACACTCAGATCAGATCACACAGCATCTAACAAACAGAGAGCTAACAGTCACTCTCGCTCCCTCTTATGGCTGATTGAGGAAACAGCAATCAATCACATTTTACAGTATGATTTAAAGAAATAGGTATAGCATTGTTACATGATTTATATATTGCCAACCCAACCGTTAGATTATATTCCTAACAATATTAATCTTTCTGAAGGATGATGAAAGGATTTGTTACTGCATAATAAATGTTTGTACCCTCATTCACTTTTCTACACAATTTTTCTACTCCCAACAATTCAAATTCTTTTTATATATGTATTGATTTATAAAAGGAAGGTGTTGTTTTGGCCTGTTTGAAGGCGCCTGTTTTTTTAAAAAATTGAAATCAGAATAGAGCTGGAAGGGACTTTGAATGTCTTCTAGTCCAACCCGCTACTCAAGCAGGAGACCCTATGGAGATTCTCAATCATCCAGGTCATGGTTATCCCACAGGTGCTTTTCCAAGACAACTAGACCTGATTTGAAAAAAAAATTTTTTTGCTTCTCATCCAAGAAGCTTCTTTGTTCAAACAGACTGGAGGAGAATGGAAGGATTCATTTTCTTTGCAGTCACTAGTTGTTAGCAGTCCAGTTATCTTCTGGAAAAGCACCTTTGGGATATATCAATGAAAATTCATTTTCTGCATTGATGCTCAGATTTCCTTCCCAAAACTAAAAGTGCAGTCATTGACGAACATGATGAAAGATTTCATTACCACAATGGAAAATTGATATCAGGACAACTAGAATCCATCAATACTGGTTGACTATTGTTGGACACTTCAGCAAGATGCATCAGACACTGAATTATTTTGTTGGACAATGCAGCGATGCAGGGCCCCCTGAAAATCAGTAACAAAACACTTTCAGCCCTGTTAAACTCATGCAGCATATTGGAAACCTTATGTGATTAAATTAATTTCATATTTTTCAAGAATCCTGCATAATACAGTCACTCTGAAATTATATTTGTGTTCAGTTTGAAGAATTCTCATAGTCACAATTTTTCAGGAAACAAAACTGTTCAAAAACTTTATTGTCCAAAGTTACCAATGTATTTTACAGCATAATTTTATACCTCCCTCACATCCTTGCTTATATCTTTGCACCCTGTTGCACCCTATGCAATCTCCCTGTGGGTGTGTGGTACAAATTGGGGAGGATGCAGAATGGATGGTACTGTACAAGTATAAGAGTGCTAGGTAGGTTTTGCAGGTGGAAAAGACTTACTCCAAGCAACTTGTGATCTTCCCTGCCAACCTTCCTATTGCTGCCTCTACCTGCTGGCTTCCCACAAGCAAAGACTTTGTATGTTTGGAAACTGGCAGGAAATAAGGGCTTAGTTAGTGTGGGAAGCTGTCAGAGAATGTGGAAATTGACAGTCACATGACCATGACTGACAATGGTGATGCTCTAATTTTGTCAAATGTCATAATGGATAATGGATCCTGGGGGATTCCTGGCATTCTGAAGGTTAGCCAATTTGAGTTATTTTGATTCTGAAACTGTTGTTTTACAATACTCCATTTCATCCAATTGAGGGTTACAAAAGGAATTGTATGACACAAAATGGAAGACACAATAGTTAGTAATATATAGATTGCTTATTTTATCAAGTTTACCTGGAAAGGATTTTGTAATGCTATATATAAATGTAATTTATATAACCTATCAATCTAAGTAGTGTTCTTCATATAGTGTAGTGAAAATGTGTTACTGTAGTGTCTCTTATTTAATATGTGATGTGCATAAGTATAATCTTTATTGTCATTGTTCTTAAATACAACAAAATTGATTATGTATGTACTATTATTATTGTTGGGGGGAAAATCAGGTCGACTTCCAAGCCAGGAGAAAGACTCTGAAATAAAATGGAGGCAGGAAAGAAGGTATCTGTTTATTTGGTAACCAGAACTTCAGTGACAGCATGTTTCTGGGGTGGCTGACAAAATGGAGTTGAGAGTAGGCAGACTTTTATACATTCTTTGGGCTTTATGATTGAGATGTCTGTTCTATGGAAGAATATGTCCTTTAGTGTTTTAATGGCTGTTGACAGTTTCCTATAGGGTCATATGGGGGTCATAGCTGGCTCTATAGGCAAAAGAGGAAATGCAAACTCCAGGTTTTTTATTTACCTGAGCTAATCTTGTCAAGTTCAGCTCCTTACCTATTCTATTGTTTATTTGGAGTTTCTGGCTGCTCCTTGCTTATGAATAGAGGCCAGTTTCTGAATGGATAAAAAAATCCATTCCTAAAGACTAGCCTCTTCAGGTTTCAACTTGAGACTGTTTTCCTGTACCAGGAATACTGGGGCTGATTTTTGTCTTTAAGAAGGTGTCTCTCCTCTCCTCCTTCAGGGGAAATATTCTATTCCGCCTCTTTTTAATATTAAGAATAAAGAATATTTTATTATGGGGAGGGGGGGCTTTCCTATATTATTAAATTGTATCTAATACAAAAGTAATATTTCTAATACAATTAAATTATGTTTAAATTTATTTAATACCTTTTAAATGATGTATAAATAATAGTATGCTCATTGTAATTTGGTTTATTGTAGTAAAGTGTTTTAGTGATTTGTCAGTGCAAAACAGCTTGTATTATTACATAATGAACTGTTTAAAATCTCATAAAATATCAGTAACCGAATATTGTGTAGAGGCTCCTACAAATCAAATGACAAAATATAAGAGTGCATTTAAAGTGGTATAGGTGGTAAATATACAAGGCTATAAAAGTGTGGAAAGATTTGCTTGGATTCTTTTAAGTGCTATTATCTAGAACATAGGGTAGTTTTCAGGATTCAGATCCCCATTCTGCAAGACAAATTATGCTCACCCATGTCAAGCTTTATATAAGCAACAGTGAGCCAGATGCTATTCATTGCTACAGCATAAAAGCACAAAACCTACCAGGCCAGGAAAAATGGTTAAGATTTTTTTTTTTGGGGGGGGGGAAGAGCTTTTGTATGACAAGCTCTTTATTTACTGCTAACGGGGTTTATCCCCATATTATTAAGCATTGCCAACGGAACCCAATACATCTTAGGGAAGAGTCTTAAGGGCAGTTTAATAAAGAATCATAGAATCATATTCAAGTATAATTTAGATAGATTTTGAATCTACATTCAGAGCATTTTTCCAAATTTCGCAGAGGAAAAAATTCGAAAGACTATCGGAACAGTTGCTGAGCGAGTGCAACTGGAACGCTTCAGTATTATGAATGTTTCTAAAAAGGAATAGGTTGGGATTGCTATAACACTGTCACTTTTCTCTAGAGACCGAATATAAATGACTGAAAAGCTACCCTGTCACCTGATAGGTGGCCGCGAGGGTGTGCGACGTTGACGCACTCTGGCTACCAGGGGCGCCCGCTAGAGGCGGGAAGAGACTTCCCGCTCTGAGCAGGATTGGCCGGCGCTATGTGACGGGCTCGGCCACCTCCATCCGGGGCAGAGGAGGGCCGCTATCTTTCCCCGCCTCCGCCTATGCCGGCTCCGTAAGGCTAATTCCTGTTTTCCTCCCCACTCTTTGAGCTGTCTGCCAGTTTGCCTGCGTGCTCGCCATTCTTTCGAAGCAACCACGGTGAAGAGGAAGAGGCAGTTGGAAGCCGAGGCGGGCGGCCACAACGGGTGAGGATATGAGAGGCGGAAGAAGCTGTCGGCCGCTTTTGCGTCGCGGTCTCGGGTGAGGCAGTTCAGAGAGGCCCGGCAGCCAGACGGCTCTCGGGGCCTTAGATTGACGGCTGCTGGCTTCAGAAGCTCGCATCTCGCCTTCCTCGTGTCTCCCACGGGATGAAGGGTGCAGGCTGCGTTCGTGCGTGCACGAGACCCACTGGGGAATCCCGCTGGAGACACCGAGTGGGACGCAGGACTGAGGCCTTGGGTGGCCTTTGCCCCTCCCTTCTTCCCTCCCTCCCTCCTCCGAAGGGAAGAAAAAGGAAAAGAAACGCCTCAGTACTAGGTATCGTCCATAACGATGCACAGGCAGGGAAATACTCCAGCGAGATAGGTAATATTGGACAGTAATCGGCGTAGCGTGTATGGATTAACGCGTGCGCCGCAGCGCTGACCTTAACTGTCATTCTCTCCCAGCTCTGACCCCACGTGCACTCCAGATTTTCGCTCGTTCAGATTGAAACAATGCACGTGGCTATGAAAGGAAAATCCATATTACAGAGTGATGCCATTCTTCCAATGGAAAGACGTCGCTCGATTATGCATGTTCAGATCAATTCTGTGAAGATTTATGAGTCTATTTTATTTATTTTTCTGTATTGCCGAAGATTATCACTGTCATACTCAGTACTTTGAACTTTCTAGTATCTAACCTAATAATTTATTATTGTAATATTGGATCTAGGTACCATCAAGTCCCAGCAAATTATTTGAAACATAAAATACAAGATAGAAAAAAGAAGAAGAAACATAAGGAAGCATAGAGGTGGCCAGATAACAAAGGGTAGGGGGAACAAAAGAAAACAATGTAGGTTAAAAGGAGATTCCAGTCACCTCACCTTTAAAAGTCTTTAAATTAAACAAAGTTTCTCAATAGAAGATTTTAGCAACATAGGGTGAGAGTAGGATTTATCTAAAAAGCATTAAGATAATAACATTTATAGCAAATTATTTGTCTATTTGCTTTTGGCTTCCGGATGGGGTGGTTGAAGCAGTGTAGTATTGAATGGAGTAATTAGACTGCAATACTGGTTAAAGAGAGTTAACAAAAATATGTAATGCAATTAAAGCAGGTTAATAGATACAGAATTCTCTATTTAAATCTATATAAATAATATTAATTTGTGATGTTGTTTTTAGGGATTGCTGATAATTAAAGATCTAAAACCCATTTTTCAATCCCTCTATTTTTTATTAAAAGATTGAATAATATTTCAGTCTTAAGAAGAGTTATCAGCAAATAATGGAGGAATATCCTTTGTCCATTTGCTTCTTTATGCAGTATGGTTTATATTCCTGAACAAATATTATATTATTTATTACTAGAACATTAATTAAAAAGAGACTCAATATCCACAATATAAATTTTAGGTTAGATTGTTAGAAAATCAGTCATGTAATTTGTGGACATCAGAGACTCACAAGTCTGTTGTTTGTGCCACAGAATTTGAATCAAATAAGAGGTATCAGTATGTCCCTTGCCAGGTTGAAGCTTTGAAGGAAAAAAATAAATTTCTGATGTGCTGTTGCTGTCTGCAGTCATAGTACTATGATAAGGTACTACTCTTCCCTGATTTAGAAAGTATAAAACAGAAGTTGGTGAAATGGAAATTAAGACCATATAAAATAACCATATTCACATTTATTTATGGATATAATTAAACTATTTTTTCTAAGATGATTTATTTCCTTTGTTGTCATGGCCTCCCATTTGCTCCTCAAATTTATAATCTGTTTATTTAACAAGTTTTCTCAAATCATTTCTGAAAGAGGGACTTAATTCATTGGATGTTTTTGGAAGGCGTATTTCTAATATTGTACGTTAAGCTCCAGCTGTACTCTGTCTGCATGAACAAATGAAAAGGAAACTTTTACAGCTGAATAAAGTATCTGTCAGACCTCGCCTAGCTAGGTCCTTAGATAAGAAATCCCCTTAATTCCATTTGGTTAAAGTGATATGTTCTTTTACTAAGGATTAGTGACTGCTGTAAAAGTAAGCTAGAACTAAAGTTCTGGCACAAAAGGAAACAAACTTTCCCCCTCATGACAGCCCTCCCCCTTTGACCAGTTTGTTTTCAGCCAGTGGTGACCCTCATAGGTATTTTGATCACTGTTGTGATCTTTGGAGCAATTCAAATTCTTTTCCAAGCTATATCACCTTGAAGACTGGCACACGTGGTTTTGTCAAACTGTTTTGTCAAACTGTTATCCCCCTCCCCATTTCCATCTCTACCTCATATATGTTTATTTCCCATTTGTTCTTCTTCTTTCTAACAGTTGGTGGCAGGCTGTAAGCTAGGTGCCAAGCCGAAGATGGCAGAGCTGACATACTGCTCCCCTTTCAGAGTTGCTGTGTGTATAATAGAATAGAATAGAATAGAATAGAATAGAATAGAATAGAATAGAATTCTTTATTGGCCAAGTGTGATTGGACACAAGGAATTTGTCTTTCGTGCATATGCTCTTAGTGTACATAAAGAAAAAAATATATTCTTCAAGAATCATAAGATACAAACACTTAGTGATAATCATAGGATACTAATAAGCAAATAATCCTAGGAAACAACAAAAACAAAATAAGTTGTGCAGAGCCCTATAGATGTGTTTTGAGGGTAGACATTGAAACAATTTACGTCCAGGATGTGAGGGATATGTAGAATGGAAGAAACGTTGGTAGCAATTGTTTTTTCTGCAGTTCTAATTATCCATTGAAGTCTGTGTCTGTCTTGTTTGGTTGCAGAGCCAAACCAGACAGTTATAGAGGTGCAGATGACAGACTTAATAATTCCTCTGTAGAACTGTATCAGCAGCTCTTTGGGCAGTTTGAGCTTTCTGAGTTGGCACAGAAAGAACATTCTTTGTTGTGCTTTTTTGATGATGTTTTTGATGTTAGGTACCCATTTTAAGTCTTGAGACATGATGGAGTCTAGAAACTAGAAGGACTCTACTGTTGATACTGTGTTGTCTAATATTGTAAGAGGTGGTAGTATAGGAGGGTTTCTCTTAAAATCTATCACCATTTCTACGGTTCTGAGTGTATTTAATTCAAGATTGTTCTGGTGGCACCACAAGGCTAGTTGTTCAACCTCTTGTCTGTATGCAGATTCATCATTGTCTTGAATGAGACCAATCACTATTGTATCATTTGCAAACTTCAGTACTTTAACAGAGGGATCTTTTGAGATGCAGTCATTGGAATATAGCAAGAAGAGAAGTGCACACAGCCTTGGGGGGCTCCTGTGCTAATTGTACAGGTATCAGATGTGATTTTGCCTAGCTTCACTTGCTGCTTCCTGTCTGTTAGAAAGGTTTTGATCCATTTACAAGTGTGATCAGGTACAACTAACTGTTTTAGTTTAGTTAGAGGAAATATCTGGAATGATGGTATTGAATGCTGAGCTGAGTGAATTGGAGTCTGTAATCTGCTATACTGGTAATTCATTCCAGAGTTCCAGGCAATCTATATAAATGTTGCATGAACAATTTAGCTAAGGTGCAAGCGGAAAGGATTTTTAGGCATGGTATAAAATGCACCTGTTTAGAGAATAGATCACGTATCACCCATTATTACAGTGTTTCTTGAACTTTTATATTAATTTTACTATAAAGTCCATTGAAATCTCTTTCCATAGTGCTTTAGGTTTTGCCACTGGCCGAAAAAGCCCTGATATCTTCTCCTGATGTCTTTCTGAGGAGGCACAGGTGAGACAACTAGCCACATAGCTTTCTATGTCCTTCTATAATGATGACTATCAAAATTGACATTTAACTAGATGTAGAGTCTTTACAAAGCCGAAGTGCCCCACTAATTTCAAATCATGACTTTTTTTGTAAGACGATTATTTGTTGGCTTTCTGGGGCATCTAGTTTGGCTTCTATCCCAGCTAATTCATTGTATATTGTATATTGTATATTCATCTTTATGGGCTTGAAACCCTTTGTCTTTTTCTAGCTCTGCTTTTAACATGCTTAAGTTCTCCACCATTTGGATTTTGAGTTTCCCTTGCACTGTAGGGGTGACCAGAGCTGCCAGTTGTCAGGATGGGGTAACAGGTGTAATAATTTCTGTCTTGGAACTATTTTATTGCGGTAGTCTGGGCAGAAATTCTTTCCCCGGGAGGTACCGCAAGGTTGAAGTACTAACCTCATTGGGTTTGTTTCGGCAACAGCATCCGTGGGTTTTTCAGAACCAGGTTTTTGTAGTCTGTTCAAAGTTCAAAAGGGGCTTTGCTCCCTTCTAAGAAAAGCTTCCAAGTCAGGAGGTCCAATGTACAACATTAAGTACATTTTCTTTTCCCAAAATGCCCACCTGTATTCAGTCTCAGTTTTGGGAGGTGAAAGAGCATGGCTTCAGGCTCCCTGATCATTTTTCTGCAGCAGCATAGCCTCCATTGGCATGTCTCTGGCATCTGCCTGGATGACAAAAGGAGTGTTTGAGTCAGGGTATTTTAGCACCAGCTCTGCCGTGAACAAGCACTTGAGTTTCTCGAATGCCTCTTGACATTCTACCATCCATTTCAGAAGTTGGCTAGGCTTAGGCTTACCCGTTCCTTTCATCTTCACCAGGTTGGTGATGGGCAAGGCTATCTGGTGAATGATAGGATGAACTGGTGATAAAAATTTGCGTATCTCAGTACGCTTTGAAGTCTGGGAGCTTAGAGGAGCCCATTCCAAAACACTGCAGTTTTTCAGAATGCATTTCTATTGCCTCATGGGAAAAGTGATACACCAGATAATGAATTTTGCATTGGTGGAACCCGCACTTGGACAGTTTAGCATATAGTTAGGTGGCCTGAAGTTTCTTGAGCACAGCTCTGACTAGTTTCACATGTTCTGTCATGGTTTCAGTATAAATCAAAATGTCTTCCAAGTAGACTAAGACCTCTTTATATAGGTACTCATGAGGTACTTCATTTATCTGCTGCGTAAATCCAGCGGCGGCACCGTACAGACTGTGAAGGGGAGAACTCAGAATTGGAAGCACTCCTGGGGCAAGTGAAACTCATTTTCCACTTATCTCTTTCTTCCTGGAGCATTGTTGAGACCATTGGGGTCTTGCCTGGTAGCCTCTGCCTCTCTACCACTTTACCCCACTCTACCCTGGGGTCTCAATAATGCTCCTCCCCTCCCCCAAGCTTTAATCTCTAGTGGTTGTCCTCATGAGCCAACATCATGTGCATGGTCTCCACATGATGTCTCTCCAGATTGACCACTATTGCAATTCTAGGGTCAGCCAAATCTCTCTTTTGCTGCTTGCTTGCCCATGGCTGCATAGAATTGGCGGGAGGGGGGGTTGGCATTTGGGAAGAGGAAGTAAACTGTTGTGAAGTGTTCCTGTGAGAATTGGAAGGGAGGTTTGCTACCCATCAATGGGCCTCTGGAGGCATCCAGCATCTGCTGAAGAAGTTTCCCATAACATCATATTGGACACTTATTGGTCCTTAAGGCTGTATCCTGGGGGGGGGGGGGGCTTTGGGGGGGGACTTTCAATGTGTAACTTTCATGCAGATTTTACTCAGATCTTGCCTTGCCTCCATTGCCCCACAGAGGATGATGCTGGCTGCAATCACACTGCCACTAGCAGCTGTGGCTGGAGGAGCTACCTCCAAAAGGAGACAGGATCTTAAAGTGTCACCACTGGGGGTGAGGTCCAGGGGGATCCCAAGTCTCTGGGATTCTTCCTAGCTCAAGTCTGGAGTTATACGCAGAAGTATGGGGTGAATTGGGAAAGGAAACTACTAAAGTGAGATGTGTCACCATCTGTTGCCCTGGAAAGAGCCGCAGCAGAAAATGGTTTCACTTTATAACAACTCCCCCCCCTTCAACTAAGGAACTATGACCTACTATGACCCTTCAACTAAGGAACTATGACCTACTGAACTACTAAAGTGAGATGTGTCACCATCTGTTGCCCTGGAAAGAGCCGCAGCAGAAAATGGTTTCACTTTATAACAACTCCCCCCCCCCCCTTCAACTAAGGAACTATGACCAGTTTAAAACCATTATCCAAGGAAGGCAATCAGTGGCAGAGTATACCCAGGAATTCTGTGAGCCTGTAGGTTGGCCATGTGGCCTGAGGAGATCTTGGTTGAATGTGTTAAATATGGGCTAAACAATGACCTACATACACCTACATCTTGGGGGGGGGGGCTCCCCAGGACCTCCAGCACTGGTACATACTGGCTGATGAGGTGCAAATAGACTTGACCAGGGAATGACACTGGGGTGGTCACGGCTAGTTTGCAAGTTTGCAAGTTTAATAACATTTATATGCCGCCCAATCCCGTAGGACTCCGGGCGGCTTACAGTACAGAAATAAATCAAAAAATAAAATACAGAGAAAAAAAAGATAGATTTAAAACAGCACACCATGCACTCCGTTCTAAATGGGGCTGGATTGTATTTTGGGGTCAACAGCTCCAGGCCTGCCGGAACAGTCAGGTTTTAATGGCTAGAGCAAGTCCTCGCCTCCTGCTCCCAAACAACCTCCAAGAGTGGCCAAGGGAGGGCCAGTGCCCAAGCAGTGATCCACAGCATGCTTCAACTGTGGAAAAGAAGGGCATCTAACAGCCGATTGCTGCTCCAGCAAACCTGCAGCCGCAGCAGGTAGGAAAGTTGAGAAGGGATCACAGAAGCTCTGTGAAACAGTCTTGAAAGGGGTGGAGGTCATCATGTTTTCCTCGCCTGTCCCAGAGCGGCTAGGAACTTTGACTCCACTGAAGGAGAGCGAATCTGATTCCAATAATGACCTCCTGGTAAGTCAATATGTGACACCTGTGACCATCCCAGTGGAACTAGTGGTGCCCTCATCAGGCACCTAGGAGAGGATATTGGCCCTATTGGAGTTGGGCTGCACCAGGGGTGTGGTTAGCCTAGAGGTTGTGAAGAAATTGGGACTGAAACTAAGAAGATTGAAGGTAATAATAGCCTTTTGCCAGTTGGATGGGTCTTTAGAGGGGAGGGCAGCTCACTTCATAACAACCTGTGGAAATGAGGATGGGGAGCCACAAAGAACTTTTGAGATTTATAGTAGCACCCAGGATCGAGAGATCCCTCTTGCTTGGACTAACTTGCCTTCACAGGTGGAACCCTTTTGTGAATTGGAGGAGGAAGCTCATAAAAATCCGACCTAAACTGATGGGGAGAAAGGGGGGAAGAATCCCTCGCCAGAAGCCAAGAGAGCCAAAGTGAAAAGGGAGTTGGGATCTGCTGTGCAAGAGTTCACCAAGGGAGATCAGAAAATCCCAAAGGAATACTGAGACTTAAGGGTGGTGTTCAGTGAAAGGGGTTCCAATGTGCTCCTGCCCCATCACCCCATTAACTGCAGCATAGAAATCCTCCCTGGGCAAAATTTCCTAAGCCAAAAATCTATTCGATGACTCCACATGAGCTAAATGAGCTGTGTGCTTTTATTGACAAGAACTTGAAATGGGTATTAATCCAACCAGCCAGACCACGAATGGCAGCTCCAGTGTTATTCTGGGAGAAAAAAGACAGCACACTTCGTCTCTGTGTTGATTATAAGGGGTTAAATGCTATGCGTGTGGAGAATGTTACCTAAGGTTAAGTTTGCTTACTTTCCTTGTTCAGTTGGTGACTTTACTAAAATATTGCTATTTTAGGCTAGTTAAGGTTTTCTTCTGGTCTTTTACCCTCCTCCATTCCAATGTCTCCCTTTTTTCTCCAGGAACTGCAAACTATTTGCTACTTTCTTAAGAATCATGGTTTATTTTTGGATCTCTTATAATTGCTGTGCTGACTGCCGTTATCAGGAAGTTATTTTCTACCAGATTTCTTCACTTTTTGGAGTAGTCTACGGCAGCAATATCTAACCTTTCTGGCACCAGGGATCAGTTTCACGGAAGACAATATTTCCCATAGACTAGGGAAGGGGAGTATAGCTACAAATGTAACCTAGAACCTCTCTGTATGCACAGATGAAACTTTGCTTGCTTACCTTTTGCTTGCTTAGCTTGGTTTCTAACAGGTCTCAATTCAGATTATAGAAAGAAAGAAATGTGTCCTACACTTTCTTCAGTAATTCCATTTGCATATCTTTATAAGCCCATATCATGTGTTTGACTGTACCTTCCTACTTGCCAGCAGTGTTTATTTTGAGAAAGAAAGCACCTGGTTGATATTCAAAGAGGGGTTATTGTAAGATTAATCAGATAGCTTTACCTGATGGAAAAGTTTTGGATGGGAGGCCATGAAGAGAATGGCAAACAGGTCAGAAAAGAAGAAAGTTCTATTGCTGAAGAATTAATATAAACTTTCTTATTGAATGAATTGATTGTGGAAGAGCATACACCTGAAAACAGATCAGAAAAATAAGTTTGATAACAAACTTACATATAAATTTAGCTATGTAATTTGTGCCATGGCAGAATCCAGTGTAACATTATGGTTGTATGCACAGTATATGAAATAATTGTGAGTGAAACATTATCTCCAGATAAACATCTCACATTAATTTAGGCAACATAGCTTTTAGAATTACATTTATATTATAGGCAGTTACCGTTATTTGTTAAATGTCTAGGAATCCTCAAGTTCTGAATAGGGCATTTTATGGGAAAATATTAATGCAATATATGGTTGCTACATGTACTACCGTTGATTTTAGAAAAGTATCAGTCTAATTAGGCAAAACACATAACTGTGTGTATAACACTTGTTTATTTCTGTGGAATAAACTTAGAACCTTGACATGTAAGGAATGCTTGCACCCACAATTTGACTTATTTTTATTTCCATATTCATTCATTACAAATATAATTTAAAATTCTTAGGCCTATGTAAAAAGAAGTTAGAGTTGTACATACATTTTCTAATTATTTATTTTTATTTATGTAGTGAATCTATAGTAATCGTTACTTAGGAATACAAAATGTGTTTCAAAAGGGAAAACAGAATTCCAAGAGCATCTGTCTTCAAATCTATAAAGCAACTATGTTTTCCTCAAAGCTTATATGATTGTTTCATAATCTGCTAACATGCATTTTGTATGTTTAAATGGAAATTTTAGTCTCTACTCCCATATTGAAAGAGGTGCAAAACAACTCTCTCAAAGGTATTCATAGCCTCATCTGTTATCATTTTGTTTCAGCAGTGAATTATTTAATTCATACATTTTCATGTATTTGCTCACTTCAGGAAATAGCATAAATTGTAGGAGGTCATCTGTTGGCAAAATATTTATTTGTCTTTTTGTTTTCAGTCCAAGCAAGAGTTCGGTAATGGCAGCAGATTCAATGGAGATTGATGATGCTTTGTATAGGTAAGCATTTTAACAAAAGTTTAATGTGTTTTAATAAACTACAGATAATATTTAAGTTTTAATGTCAAGTAAACATTCTTAAACAATGAATTTAAATATAGATAAGAATGTTTCTATCATAAACTTTATTTTATTAACATGTACTTTACACTCAGTTTAAAGAATGCTATTTCTTTGAAATGTTTTTTTTGAAAACTATGCCAAGAAATTGTTTTACACTTCTCTTTCTCTAATAATCCATTTTGTGCATAGAATTTCCAATTTCTAATTAAAGTTTTTTTCTCGGATATGTTGACTGTATTTAGCAGATTATGAGCATGTATGTGCTGTCTTACTCCAAACTAAATTGGTTTTATGGACTTTCACACTTGAGCATTACCATCTTTACTTCATAGGATCAAAATCGGAGATGTACAACCAAGGAATCCCACTATTTGTAAGCCATAGCTATTTTGATTGAAATGAAGAAACTCATTAAATTATTAGTGAAACTTAAGCATCGTTGAAGTGAAAGACTGCAGGTTATAGAACATAAAATTCTAAGGCTAAATACCCTTTGCTTACGGCAAGAGCCTTATACCATCCCAGTCAAACTTCCAATTATGAATCTCCCAGAATCCTGGGAGGCAGGTTATTCCGTTGATTAACTGTTCTCACTGTCAGAAAATTTCTCCTTACTTCTAGGTTGGATCTCTCATTAATGATCTTCCACCCATCACTTCTTGTACTGCCCTCAGGGGCTTTTGAGAATAAGTCATTCTCTTCTTCTCTATGACAGTCCCTCAAGACACTAGAAGACAATTACCATGTCCCTCCCCAATTCTTCTCTTCAATAGACTAGGCAAACTTAGCTCCCTCAACCATTCATATGATTTACCCTCCAGGCTCTTCATTATCTTTGTTGCTCTTCTCTGCACATTTTCTAGGGTCTCAAGCATTTTTTCTGGTATCATGACATAGTATTCCAAGGCTGGTATTATCATTTCTTCTATCTTGATATTTTCTCTCTGTTGATGCATCTCAGGACTGGATTGGCTTTTTTGGCAGCTGCAGCATTTTGTTGGATATGTTCTTTTAAAATTATTATAGGATGATATATTAATTTCCCTAAGAAATTGCTTAATATCCAAAATTTGTAAAAAGTTATTTCTTGAGATCAAATTAATTTTTCTCTTCTGTGAAGTTTGTCAGAAGTGAGAGGTTTTGCAAATTGCACTACTTTATGCTGTTGATTATAATTATTTATGATTTTCTTTTAATACTTGCATGTAGTCGGCAGAGATACGTTCTTGGAGATACAGCAATGCACAAGATGGCTCAGTCTCATGTATTCCTAAGTGGAATGGGCGGGCTTGGAGTGGAAATTGGTAGGTGAATAGAATTTTTTTAAGCTTCCAGAGCCTATAGAATCAAGTAAACTATAAACATAAACTTTTTTACTATGTTTTTTTTTAAATTGGGAAATATTTATTATATTTATGTGCAGTAGGATAAACTTATATTTTCTACTAATTGGAATATATTAAAAATAGAATTATTACTTACATCATAAAAATCACTCAAGTAAAATGAATTACAAAGGTATATATTCTCATTGTTTTTTGGGGAAGAAGCTTCATGAATTTCTTTGAAGGATTCTTATATCAGTAATTCAGGACGTTTTAGCCACATATATTGTAGCGATATAATTACAACTTCTTAAATTTTTTAGTCTTCGATACAGTAGAAGCATTAGAGCCTGATTTATAAATTTAGATTGTAATAGAATAAGAATAGCAGATATTGCATAGTTTGGAGTGAAATAATCGACTTCGTTTGTAGTCTCTTCTAGTAGATACTGCCTCTTGCTGATATTTAGTTTTTCTTATCGATTGATTTATATAGCTCATTATTAGAATCTACTGTTGGCTTGCTTAGTATTTTGGCTTTTTTGAATATTTTGTTCCAGAAAGATGTCACTTTTTGTAAATCCACCACATATGACAAAATGGTCCTTTCTGATGCAGCCCTTCAAACATTTTGATAACTAATTATGAAAAATTTGTAACCGGAGTTAAATAATGCCAGCAATCTTTTACTACATTTCTTGTACTGAAGCAGATAGAAAGCCATCTAATTTCCATAGTATTTGCCTCTTCATATCATCTTTTCGTTTTCCTAAATCTATGTCTCATACTTCTTTTAAATCTTTTATAAAATAATAATCTATTTTAAAAGAAATTTTCTTTTAAACCGACAAAGCATGAGATGCGTGTTACATAAACATTAGCAGAAGCCTTTTGTAAAAATAAATACTGTCATTACTTACATTTAAGTTTTCCTTGCCCAGTTATGTCCAACTTTAGGGTGCGGTGCTCATCTCTGTTTTCTAGCCAAGAGAGCCACCAGCATTGTCTGAAGATGCTTCCATAATCATGTAACTGGCATGATTATATGCTGAGGCACATAGAACTCTATTACTTCCCACCAAAGTGGTATCTATCGATTAGCATTTGCAAGCTTTTAAACTGCTAGGTCAGCAGGAACTAGGGCAAGTAATAGGAGCTCACCCTATCATGTGGTGTTGGGTCTTGAACCCAATCTGTCAGTTTTCTATCCGACAAGCTCAAAGTCTTTAAGTACTGAGCCATTGTGCCCTTTTAAGTATACTAATGGAATACAAATCCTTGCAATATTTAATTAAACTAGAATTGGAATTAACAAATTATTTATTTAATAATCACTCTATTCCTATGAGGATGAAAAATGTTAAAAGGAATAAGAACATGAAGTAGGGCAAAAATTCTGTAGCAACTGATGCCTCACCATGGCTTCATTTGTATAGATATAATTGTTGGTATAAATAGATGGGCATCAATTTAGTTTATAAATTGGTCATCTTACTTTATGCTCTTAATTTAAGTTGTAGTTATTAATGTTTTTTTCCTTTTGCATTATTCTTGTTTGAAAATTAGCTTTTAGCAAAAAGTATAACACATGCACATATTGATTGGGAGAAGCACACCTTCAGTACAAGTTTCAGCTGGAGCTGGCAACCTTAGACTGACAATATGAGGAACACTGCATTGCACAGGATATTTATCTATATTGTACACTGTACTTTATGTTTTCTTTTGATAAGAGAATCATCTTAAATTCAGGGTTAACTTTAGTGCAGGAATAAGTACTGTACAGTATATAATTATAAATGGTAAATATTTACTAGAAACTTATAACTCTTCACTTTTCTTTTCAGCCAAGAACATAGTTCTTGCAGGAATAAAGGTAAGAAGAAAGATGTTCTAATTTTTAAGAATAAATATTTGGTATATGTTTATTTTAAGGTATTCCGCTTCCTAAAAAACTAATGAGACTGTCATAACTTTCACACAAACACTAGCAAAATATTAAAAAATTAGTAACTTGATTCTCAGATGCTAATTTATATGATTAGAAAATATAAGTCACATGATGATTGATTTAGAATTGCTTGCAACTGCATGTAGCATTGCCACATATTTACACTATGAAGAGATTGATGATTAAGTGTAGATCTCTAATTAAAACTCTCCAGAGAGTTGATATCCATGTACCTAAATAAGACAACAGATATTCCAAAATTTTATTCTATGCTGGCAATGCAGCTCTTCTCTTTTTGTTTTCTGTTGGCATGAAGTGGGCATTGAGAACTATGGCATCCTACTGTAATGAGGAAGAATTAATAATCAGTTATGATAAGTGTATTGTTCTGGTTTTCTCTGATTGCTGCCACTGTATAAGGGATGTGGTGGCTCAGTGGCTAAGAGGCTGAGTTTGTTGATCAGAAAGGTCAGCAGTTCAGTGGTTCGAATCCCTAGCACCATGTAACAGATTGAGCTCTCATTATTTGTCTCAGCTTCTGCCAACCTAGCAGTTCGAAAGCATTTAAAAATGCAAGTAGAAAAATAGGAACCACTTTTGGTGGGAAGATAACAGCATTCTGTGCACCTTCAGTGTTTAGTCATGCTGGCCACATGACCACGGAGACGTTTTCGGACAGCACTGGTTCTTCGGTTTTAAAACGGGGATGAGTACCACCTCCTAAAGTCGGGAACAACTAGCACTTATGTGGGAGGGGAACCTTTACCTTTACTGCCATTGTCCAAAAGAGGCTGCAAGTAATGATTCAATTTCATATGCAACGAGGCAAATTACTTTCCAGTAGCAATGAAATTGTTTATGGCTAAAATAATTGCCCAACTATTATATAAGATACAATTTGGGCCATATACAAACTTGAGGACTTATGAAACCATTCAGTTAAATTTTCTTTGGTGTTTGGTATACCAAAGGAAGTGATGGCTTGAAGTGAATTTGCCAAGTGTTAAAGATTCTAATCTCAGGATTTCGAATGAGATTTGATCCTACAGATTTAATGCTTTACTATTGTCAAACAGCTGCCAATCTCACTGGTACTGTATCTCAATAGCAGAACCTTGTAGTCTTGGCCTCTCTTCTGAATATTTAGGCCAATTAAGTCTGGAGAAGGCTGAATCAACAATAAAAGGTATAATCAGGGACAATTATTGTCTAAATGATATCACTAATACCCCTGAATTCCATTGTCAAACTATAGACAGATGTTAGCCTTCAACTGCACCTATGAATTACAATTAGTCCTTTACTTACAACCTATCACTTAAGACCATATGGGGTATCATCTAATCCTAAACAAATATAAACAGGCCTTTTCCAGAGCTCACTTTGATGCCCTTCCATCTACTTTACTGGGAGGAAGACTTCATTGGATTCCTTATTTTTAGAGACTGTGTCCTTGTGGATCTAGAGAGGTAGAAATTCACGTTCATGTCTTCATATAGTGTTTTGATTATCCCAATAATTTCTAAATGCAAGTCATAATGATAAATTTTATGTTTACTATTTTTTAAGAGTTTCTAATCCTATATCCACATCAGGTGGCCAAATATCTTCATCAAGATACAAAACTCTGAAAAACTTAATTAGATATGTTGTTTAATTATCCTATTGTTTTTTATCCTTTCAATAACGAATTGTTATATAAAATTATCTCTAGTTTTTTACTATAAAGGCTGATCAAAGATCTTAATAAAGATATTTGATTTTATCATAATTGATCTAAAATTTTGGTCATAAATGGTTATGGTCATGTTGAGTCACCACAATCATTTTTACAATGGTTCTTAAGTAAATCATCATGATCATTAAGAAATCACCTGATCTTAAGTCTGAATCCCAAATGCCATTTGCCAAAAATGACAAAAGATTTGCAAAACTTGACCATATGACTGTGGGACACTGCAATCAGTCATAAAGGCAGTTCCTTTGCCAAGTGCCTGAAATGTGGTCATGTGACTTCAAAGGTATTGCAGCAGTGGTAGCTTTGAGAAAGGATTGTAAGTAACTTTTTTTGAGTACCTCCTAACTTTGAATGATCAATAAGTCACCGGTTGTAAGTCAAAGACTACTTGTAATTCATAGGTGTGATACATGTGTGATAGTGTGTATATTTATGATGTTGCATCACTGCTACTTCAAATATACTTCTTTCCTTTCTTCTAATATTATTTCAAGGCTCTCACTATCCATGATACCAAACAATGCAAGACATGGGATTTAGGAACAAACTTCTTTGCTTGTGAAGATGATGTTCTAAATGTAAGGAACAGGTCTGTACAATGTTTAAAATATTGTCAAAATTACTGCAATCCTTGTATGAGCTTTATCCAAGATATATTTTTATATGTATTGAAGAATATCAATGAGATCATATTTCCAAATTGTGAGTACAATTTATTCACTACATTCTTTGATGGTGTGCAGGATGAAGTTACTGTATTTTGTTTTTGGTCTGTAGGATGCACTCCCCCCCCCCCCCCCATTGGGTGGAAATGTCTGTATGTCCTACAGAGTGAATATTGCCAAAGCCCTGCCCACCGCTTGCCCCCATTCTTCGGCCTCTGCCTCCCAGTAATTTGCCTCCTTGCAACAAACAGATCAGCTTCAGTACAGCCTGATTTAGCACAAACAGCTGATGGTTGGATCAGCCTCCCAGAATATTGCCAATCAGCTGTTCCAGGCTGCAGGGATTGCTGCTGATGCCCATTACCGCCACTACCTATCGCCATCTTCGCACACCCCATTTTTGACCTCCGCACATCGTAAATCCCGTTTTTGGCCTCCATGCACCCTGTTTTTGGTCCGTTCCAGATGGCAAGGATTGCCGCTGCCATTTGGCCAAAAACGGCACACATTCTTTCTATCTATCTATCTATCTATCTATCTATCTATCTATCTATCTAT